TTTTTTTTCAAACTTTTTATGACAGCAGCAGTTGCTTTAGGCGTAGCAGATGGCGTTGGCGGATGGAGAAGACATGGAATTGACCCTTCAGAATTCTCTAGCCGTTTAATGAAAATTTGTTTCGAATTGGTCAAATCAGGTTTACATACGCGTTCCTCTTTTACTTACGCAGTGTTAATTTTTGGATGTAGCGATTTAGAATCGTAATTTGTATGTGGTTTCTGAGGAATTTTCGTAGTTGGTGGGGCGCCAACAACAAATCCTTCGTGATACTCCACAAAGTTTTTTGTCGTCTTCTGGAAAAAATACCGTTGTTCATGAACTTTCTCATCTTCGCATTGCCGTTGCTTTTAATCCAAATCATAATATTATAATTTCAAACCTTTTTAGTTAAAGTCTTTTTCTTAACTTTGTTTTGTATTCCAGGAAGATTTGAACCCGAAAGGCCAGATCGTCTACTAGCTTCTGCTTTTGAGAATCTCTCAAAGCCTCCTCGCCCCGTGGGCTCTTCTACTGCATGTGTTCTCGTGGTTCATCAGGACATGCTATATTCTGCTAACTTGGGGGACTCGGGTTTCTTAGTTATTCGGGCTGGCGACGTTGTTTTTCGTAGTCGTGAACAGCAACACTACTTTAATGCTCCTTTCCAATTATCTTTGCCCCCAGTTGATACACGTTAGTTAATTTTTGAAGCTGGATGCGAATTATTTGGTATTTATTTCAAGAAACCATATTAGTTACTCAAAAAATTTTTTTAATAGACAGTGATGTTTAAACATACTTAAAATTTACTTTAGTCTTCAGTATTCTAAAGATTATTCATAATTGGCAGTTAAAAATACCCTCTCTACCTGCAGGTTACACTGGGTTTCTTGGCGATTCGCCGGAAAAGGCTGAACTAAACAGTCTAAACATAAAAAGAGGTGATATCATTGTTTTGGCGACTGACGGTCTATGGGACAATGTGCCAGAACATATTATTGTCGAACAGCTGTCACACGTTGAAGCAAAAGATATCCAGGTTTGCATCTACCAGTCGTTCTTATTTTTGCACGCTTAACTCCTTTTTTTGTTTTTTTTTAAAGCTAATTTTTTTAGGCAGCATGCAATGCACTTGCTTTGACGGCACGGCGCTTGGCATTTGATTCTCGCCACCTTTCGCCATTTGCCATTAAAGCTTCACAACATGGGATAGATACGTCTGGAGGTAAACCTGATGATATAACCCTTGTTTTGTTAATGATAACATGAGGAAGTGGACTTCCTCCCTATATTTAATCATGGACGGGTTCGCTGAGCCCCAGGACGGTAGCT